TGCTGATGCAAGTCCGCCAAATACGGTAAAAGAAGAAGCAAATACGTCCTTTTTCGAAAGGCTCATGCATCCAAGAAAAGCTCAAGTCTACATCGCCCATAGCTGATCCCAAAGCCGTTTCAAAGGAGCGGCGTTCCCGAGCCGATGCCATCTTTGTAGTTTTCTTTGTCGCAGCTCTGGTGTTAAGCCCGATTGGCAAGACATGAAGCAGTTCAGCCAATGGCAGACCTTCTGAGGCTACAAAGGAAGACTGGAGAAAATGTGGGACTTTGTGTCGTTTTAATTCGAGAAGAAGCTGGAGATGGAAACATGATGCTCTGATGACCCTCTCGCACCTGGATGATGTTCCTCCTACAGAAAAAAACTACTCAGCTTTTAAAGGTGCAATATGTTAAGAACGAAGTAGGAATGACATCCTGGGGTCAAATTTGGGTACTGCAGCTCATTTTCTAAGCACACGGGTGATTTTCTCACTCCCGTTCTGTGATTTTAATGGCTGCTGCCAGCTCTGGCTCACCACCATAAGGTTCTAGATGGCGATCGAAGCTGAGTCATACACAGTAAGTTAATATGTGGATAAATATGTTTCACTGTGATATCAAGTTGTTGGTAATTGAGAAAGTAGCTAGAGATCAATTTTAGAGCTGACTGCTTCTCCTTCACCGTTAGCATCGTTAGCTCAACATTAGCTCAACATTAGCCTCTAGCCTTCTTTATCTGATAATGAAGTAAAACAGAAAGGTGTCGTGGCTTCTATGGAGTACAACCTCCTGTTATTGCGTTTTTGACCGTTGGTGTCGAACTACAAATGCCAGCGTTGCAGCTTTAGCTGGCGCAGACTCGACAACCCCGCGGGCTCACGGATTGTAAACAACAACTAGGTCTGTCTTTTGTTTTTATAAGAAGGGAAAAACTGACATCCACCCAGCCGGCAGAGAAAGCAATCTGTTTCAATGTAAACTTCCTTCCAACATGATAGAGACATGAAACTGTGGCAAGAAAAAAGCCTCAAAAGAAATGTGCGTGTTTAACACAAGTTACAAATCAAGAGTTGCACATGCGTAGATCTATCTCTCCACATGCGTAGATCTATCTCTACACACACAGAGATCTAAACACAACCACACAAATCTAGTTAAACACACACAGATTTTTTGAGACATTTTTCTTCCCATATAAACTGTTTTGTGACTATTTCACGGTAAAATTCTTACATATGGTGCCTTTAAATTTATTTACTGACTCAAACCACATTTTTTGGCCTTAAATTAGAGGAAGCACCAAAAGTTAATCAAAGTAGACAGAAAATTAGTCAGCGAGTGAACGCAGATTATTTGCATGTAATTTTTGTCCCAACAAATCGATGACCATAGAAATATTACAATCTAATTTTTGTTATTGGGTTTCTTTTATGAAGGTTTTTTCTCCATTTGTAACATTTTCACCCTTTTCAATGCCCTCATTGTGTTTTATAAGTATGAAAAATTGTAGTTACATTCGTAAAATTTCCTTTATCCATAAGCAGATGGGGTGAGGAGTCGGAAGCAGGAGTGTAATGGAGTTGGACCAAAGAGCTGTTGAGAATCAGCTGGATCTTTAGCTCCTCTCCAAGCGGCAAGGTCACAAACTTTGTGTGCTCTGAGACAAAAACAGACAAGAGAGGAGGCGGGTCATTCGATACCTGCATATCTGTTTACAGACTAAGTGCTTTAGTCTCCCAATAACGTTCAAGTCTTTAAAAACATCCGTTAAGGCAAGCCAAAGCAGCACAAAATCTACTGCAACAACAACTTCAAACATTTGAAACAAAATTTAATTTTTATTCTCACCTTTAACATTTAGACACACTTTAATCTGGATCGCTCCTCTGATATCTCTGACAGTGTAACTCCCCTCGTCTGCACCTGTAACTGCGTGGAGGGTGATAAAACGCTCAGTGCTGCTGATTCGCCCTCGATACGGCTCCGTGGGAAGCCCTGTGGCAGTCATCACCACAAAGGCTGGACTGCGGGGAAGAAAAGCCAGAGAGGGTGAACTTTTCTCAACCTTTTCTTGATATCTCTCAGACACGTCCCACCACACGAGCATCACCGCTGGAGAAATGTCAGTACGGATTTGTGAGTTCAAAAGATCAGCGTGGATTTGCTGACTCTACCTAGCTGTCTGGGTGGCCTCCACTGCACTGGGCCTGTGCTCCAGTGTGATGAAAGAAGTCTCCCCCAGCAGAGGAATTTTGAAGTTGCCTCCATATTTGACAATGTCCTCAACGGTGCAGTCTGAAAGATAATACCATGGAAATAAATGTTTTGGCTTTAAATTAGAGGAAGCACCAAAAGTTAATTAAATTAGACAGGAAATTAGTCCGCGAGTGAACGCAGATTATTTGCATGAAATGACCGAAGTGAGCGAGAAAGAGGAGAGTTTAGGGGTGAAAGACTGAGACATGGAATAAAATTTCAGATGTGGCTAAAAGGGGACCAAATGTAAGAGGAGAAAAAACGAGAGAGCAAAAATCTAAAAATAACAGGATTCTGGGAATGAGCGGGTAGACATAAAAATCACATGGAAGCAAAAAGAAAGACAAGATAAAGACAAAAGCACAGCAGGAATAAAAGGAAAGAGGAGTAGGTTGATGGTTAAAGTACTGGGTAATTAAGGCCTGGCAGGTCCATCACTCTCACACACACTCACACACACTCACACTCACACTCACACACACACACACACACACACACACACACACACACACACACACACACACACACACACACACACACACACACACACACACACACACACACACACACTTCTCTCTGTATCCTTGAGTGGACCCTCCGTTGACTTCCATTCATTTTAGTGACTCCACTATAACTAACCCATTCCCTAACCTTAACCATAACCAATGCTGTTCTATTCAAAACTCTAATCTAAACCAAAAGTTAAGTTACACCATACCTGGGGCGACGGTGGCACAGGAGTTAAGTGCTCGCCCCGTAATCGGAAGGTTGCAGGTTCGAGCCCCGCTCAGTCTGTCACTGTCATTGTGTCCTTGGGCAAGACACTTAACCCACGTTGCCTGCTGGTGGTGGTCGGAGGGACCGGTGGCGCCAGTGCTCGGCAGCCTTGCCTCTGTCAGTGCGCCCCAGGGCAGCTGTGGCTACATTGTAGCTCATCCCCACCAGTGTGTGAATGTGTGTGTGAATGGGTGAATGACTGATTGTGTTGTAAAGCGCCTTGGGGGGTTCCAGGACTCTAGAAGGCGCTATATCAAATACAGGCCGTTTTACCATTTTCTCTAAAACCACATTTAAGGGTATTTTGTCATTGCGTAGACCAGCCAAATGTCCACACACTACAGGTTAAAAGTTAAAATTAGTCCACTTAAGCATATAAAGCCTAAAAGGATCATTTTGTGGGCCATTCTCAAGAACCAACGGAGTGCCTGAGTTGGGTTGGACACTCAGAATAATCCGGTAGAGTCGCAGAGTGGAACATGGTTAAGTCAAGCAGACGTCACCCAAAGCAACCAACATTTAACCTACAATCTAGACCAGGGCTATTCAGTTCCGGGCCTCGAGGGCCGGTTTCCAGCCCATTTTGGTTTTAACCCTGCTTCAGCACACAAGATTTCAATCAGTAGGTGATTAACAGGTTTCTGCAGAGCTTGATGAGCTGCTGCACAGGTGATTCAACCACTGAATCAAGTGTGGTGGACCAGAGAAACCATTAAAATGCACAGGGTACCGGCCCTCGAGGCCCGGATTTTGCTCTGCACGCCGGTCTAGCCACGCCCCATTAGAACCTCCGTAGCCCCGGACAGTCTGGTTCCAGTTCAGTCACAGAGCTCTATGTGTTTGGTGGGCGGGATGTTGCATCTACGCCGACAGCGTATGGTGGTCTGCCCTGTTGACTGACATCTTTGATGGTCCAATCACAATGCCCTAATGGTTTTCTGGGCGAGATGTTACTGCGTGGACTTTCCTTTGAGTCAAGAGCAGATAAATGTACTTAAGTTTGTTTAGAAAAAGGAAGTATTTGCGTCTTCTTTGATAGAGTATGGTGGACTGTCTCTTTGACTGACATCCGTAGCAGTGGGTACGTCACATTGTTTGTCGTCCAATAGCATGCGGACAAATTGAAAGACAACTGTAGATCCCGCCCCATGACTGAGTGCCATCAATGGGTTGTGGCCAGACTATATATTCACATATATAGGGTGGCTTGCCAGGCCACCTGACATTTGTAAAATTGGAAGAGTAGCTGGTGAAGCAGAATGGAAGGGAAAGAAAAAAAAAACACGTTCACACTGCTTTAAATTTGTCGTTACTTAACTCCCAACACCAAAAAATGGAGTCGTCCCCCCCCCCCCCCCCCCCCCCCCCCCGACAACTACATAAATCACAGGGCTTTGTTGTCTCACAGAGAACTGTGAAAAACAGAGAACACTTCATCTGGAGTCTTACTTCCTGATATTTGGACATCTCACCTCTGATTGGCTGACAGCAACGTGACTCTACCACAATCTCTGTTTGCTCTGCAACGTTGACGTTTTATCTCCACAGATAACACGAGCCTGGAGGAGTTCAGCTGTGTGATGAAGCTGCTAATGCTAATGGCTAGCTTTTGATAGCTAAGACGTTCTCTGCTGTTTCCTGGACACTAAACCAACAAAAGCCTTCCCCGTCGTGAGTCCAGATGGGTGAGCCCATGAACGCTAAAGGCTGGTTTATGCTTGACGCGTTCGCGAGGTCCGCACGGCTCCACGCGGAAAAGTTGCGTCATTTTGCGTCATTTTAACAACCACGCCCCTCCACCGCGTCTCCGCACGGCCCAGAATTTCCGCAACGCGCACCTCGGAAAATTTCTAACCACGCGGACGGACGGACGCGGAAAAACATGGCGGACCGGCAAGATTTAGTATGGCAGAGGTTCGTAAATACAGACATTTGTATGATTCAGCTCTCAGAGATCACCGTGATCAACATGTTGTTAATAATTCTTGGAAAGAAATAGCTCGCACTGTCGGAAAAGACGAGAACGCTGTTAAAAATGCTGGAATGCCATGTTGAAAACAGTAATTTCTACTTCTACTATGGTGTAGTGTTGGGTGCATGCCGTAGAGCTCCATGCTGCCCCCTACAGTTTGGGAGAATATTGGCTAACCGCAGACACGAGCCGCACGAACCATAAAAGCTGCGAGTTGTGAAGCGCGTTCCATCCGCGAGCCGCATCACCGCGCGGAAAGTGAATGCGTCGAGCATAAACCAAGCTTAAGTGATAGGGTGCCGTAGATCTGTCAGGACTTTTTAATCCTAGAGTTTCACCATCTGTTTTCTATCATAAGCTAAAGCAGGAGGTAGGTGTGGGAGACTGTTTTCATGTTCAGCATGCACCGACTGTTTTTAAAAATAATAAGTGAAAAGAAGAATTAGAAGAATTAACAAAAAGCTTGTAAAGCTAAACAAAATTAGTTAAAAGTTCTAGGAACAGTGGCCAGTACCTCGGACTATGAGTGAAATCTGCCGGACATCATCTGGACTTTTTGGATTCATCACGGTGTACAGCCCCTCGTCGCCCTCACTCACAGAATTTATAACGAGGTGGGTGGAGAGCTGGTTGAGTTTAGCCCAACTGCCGATCGCCTTGCCATTCTTCATCAGGACCAGGGGCTTTCGGGGGTCCGAGCGGTTCTTGAATGTGACCTCCGCCTCGGGAGATGGCAGCAAGATGTGGAAATCCTCCCCACGGAATAACATCACTGCTTCCTCATCGCCTGGATTGGGTGGAGGAAACATTTGCAGTCAGTGGAACACCAATGAGTCAGAATCAAAACTGCACTGAAACAAGAGTTTTACCTTTCATAGGTGCAGAAAAACCTGCAAGAGGAAAACAGTAGTTGACAGTTAAGAAAAATACACAATTAATTACTTCTATCGCGTTTCCTTTAACTCACTCACTGCCATTGACGACTAAAGTCGTCATTTGCATGTTTTTACTGTTTGAGCATTAGAACGAGCCCCCGCGCTGAGAGAACAAACATCTCAGCCCTGAAGCCGATCTTCATTCGCATACGTCACATGTCACGTGATCAGGAAGCAGACCATCCATGTATTAGGAGATCGTTTTGGGCCGTTCCTGTAAAAAAACGTGAGGCGCGAACCGGAAAAGCGACTGCCGATCACAATTCAACTACGGATTATGAAAGAACGGATAACGCTCGAAACACACGGATTCTTCCTGACGTAAGAGGTGAGTCTCCGCGTTGTTTTGGTTGTTTTGGCATCCAGGGGCGGATTTAGGACTGAAGAAGATTCGGGGCTTAACACACACGTGTGCGCGCACACGCACGCACACACACACACACACACGTGACACGCACCAGTCCATATCATATATATTTGTCTTGTACCACATAATTTTTAATCTGAAGCTACATATTGAGCATATTCAGGGCAGAGTATTGTTCCTGTTAGTGTTTAGTGTGAGATGATAGTAAATATTCCCTTTCTTTCTCCAACAACGTTACCTGATAAGCTAATTTTAGGCAAACCAGCAGCACAACAAATATTTTCAAATAAGACTCACAAACCTGAGTCAACACCAGTCTCATCAAAGCTGGGGTTCTGTCACGGTACTTTTTGTCTAAAAAACGTCCTTATGTCCATCTTCACTCATGCTTTTCAGGCAGAGAGTGTAGAAGAAGCCGGCTGCTGAAGGGCTTCTTCTTCAGTGGTGGAGGCTCAGGCAGGCTGCATACAGACTACTGCCAGCTGCTCCCTCTCTGTTGGACTTTGGTACTGCATGTTACTTCCACGTTTTAGATCCGGGGCTTTTCATGAAACATCCGGGGCTTCAGCCCAAGTAGCCGGGCCTAACGCCGCCCCGTTGGCATCGACATAATCCTAGTGCGCAACTTTCTGTGACTCTTAAAAAAAACAGTAAAAACGGTGAGAAACGCTGGCAGCGAAGGCCGTTAGCGATCAGGAATCGGCTGGCAGTGAATGAGTTAATGAAAAGAGTTGAAGAGAGGAGCAGCAGATGGGAGACAAAATCCGAACACACCTTCATTTCTACAAGAACTGAGTAAGACAGTTTCTCACAATCCAAGAGGCCGTCTGCAGGGCAGAAACTCAAATAAACGAGTTAAAAATAGTTATTTATTTTAATTTCACACATTAAAGCAAATAACCAAAACAACACCTCTTGAACTCTCATTTTACTTTAAAGCCCATGCAACTGTCATGTGAAAATCTAAATATTTTTACGCGACGCCTCTGAGTGCACGTAGTAGCTAATAACAGACCTGAAAATGTGAAGTACTAAATAAATCTTTGTTTTCAGATCATGCTACCAGTTCACTAAAACCGATGAACAGTTCATCGTATTTTTATATCAGTGACAGGTGTAAGTGATTTATCATTTAATCTAAACATACCTGCAGTGATGAGCAAACTCAGCGTGATCACGCCGAATGACATCATCTTATTTGATTCTTTGTGTCTGAAATGAAAGAGGAAAGGAGAAATTTTCAGTGGAATCAACAGAAAATTCTTGATGAGGAACTTTCCAAAGGCAAAGAAACTTACGTTTATTTTTTATAAATATCTTAAACCACCAGTGTTGGGCAAGTAACTTCAAAACTGTAATGCATTATTACTTGTTACTCTCATTTTAAAGTAATTCATTACTATTACTGATTTTAAAATGTAAGGCATTACACTACGTTTGCATAACTTTAAGTTACTTTCACCAGTACAACTTCAATATGAATCTGGTAATGTGACGCTCAGTGAGCTCATGACATATATGTGGAAGGTGATGTGGTGTCTGAGCTAGGGTTGCTGTTAAAAACAGTCACATATAATAACAGTGCTTTAAAATGATTGTTTATTAAATAAAAGCAACAACAATCTGTACTCTCAGCACGCTGCCATCTTATAGGCCATCTGAGCAGGGAGTGAGGTGGTGGGGGCTCCAAGCCTATATTTGCCTTGGTCCCCAAATGCCTTGATACGGCCCTGGATGTGGGACTGACTTCTGGGGTGATCTGATTCTATCACATGTATAAATATTAAATGCTTTTATATTATTGCCTTTCACTGGTAAACATGTGTATTGGGGATAAATCTACCTACTTTTTTTTCTTGATTTTATTTGAATAATTTCCGGCCCTCTCTCTCTCTAACCTTCCTGCATGCTGCATGTTTTCTCCGTCTTCCAGAAAAACTGTTTCCTATATTTCCTACTTTCTAACTAATCAGCCAAAGGAATCTACCGAACCAGCAGCTGTCACTAACTGAACTAGGAAGACCCGTGAAGACGCCAAACACAGTAAAAATATATTTAAAAAAGTCTTTATTTGAAGCAGAGTTAGCAGGGTTGGGCGAGGCTGGAGACAGAGTCGGAGAGGAGGCGAGAGTCAAAACCAGATTGGACATGCAGATGCGGGGAACAGGCAAGAGGCAAGGTTGAGGACAGGCGAAGGTCGTGGAGGCAAGCAGAGTTCAGACAGGGGTCAGGAGAAAAACAAGGTCCGGAGGCAGAAACCAGGCAGGGTGAACTGCTGGAGAATTTACTGGCACGAAGTCTTCAATAATCTGGCACTGAATGACTGGATGGCTGGTTCTTTTGTAGCAGGGGAAACAGGTGTGAGTGATGAGCTGAGGAGTCAGAAGCAGGTGAAGTGGATGAAGCTGATTGTGGTAGTCATGGAAACAGGGCTTGGCTGGGGCTTGATGATGAGACCAGGTGTGCTGCATGAAGGCAGAGGAGGATGAAGGATTGGGAGTCATGACAAGCAGCAATGAGTTGAAATCACCGGGGCCCAGATTATGAACTCAGCTGAAAAGTACATGAAGTACCAGAGAATATGGGCTGATATAAACGATCGCAAACGAATGACTTTGTTTTGGTGGCGCGATTTTGTGAATATAACAGCGGCCGCGCGCAGGACGCAGCTGGAGTATTCGAGCCATCACCGCTGCATCCTCTCTGCTCATAGAATGCCCGCAAAGCTGAGTCCATAAATGACGTCATATATGTGGATACTGGATCTTTTTTCTGGCTCCCCACTATTTAAATTTTTAGGAAACCTTCCAGGACAACGATAAAACAAAGCTATGCTATCCGGGCCGGGCCGGATCCGATGGGCCATTCCCATCTGTACCTGGTCGGCCCAGCCCGGATAGCATAGCTTGCTTACATATCTTGGTGGCCTGCCTTTTTTCAGGGTGCAACAAGACTGTTTTTCCAGCCCTCTTTCTGAGGTGGTCTGCTTCAGGCTGACCAGGGCCAACACACCCACTGCTGACAGAAAATTCACACCTTCCATTACAGCAAGGCCACATGGGCTTAAGGCATGCTCAATTCATTATCATTCATTATCATGCTGATTACCTAGAAGCTGAAAATGTCTCTGACTGCATTCCTTGCATACCTAAGCAAGGATGTGTAGAATCCACTGGGCCAGGCTGGGGCCGACTGGAGCTATCCGGGCCGGGCCGACCAGGTACAGATGGGAATGGCCCAAAGGTTCTACACTGGCTTGCCCACTTTTTTAGTTTTGATGCAAATTTTTAAGCTCTGTGAACAGCATCACTGTATCATCGTTATCTGCTCTCTCCAAGTTTGAGCAGTTCACGATGGTACTTATGCATCTCAGATTAATTCTTCATCTCCAAGACCTTGCCTACTGATTCAATGTGTCAACAGCAACTGTGTCTCGAATTTGGATAAAGATGACACACGTTCTCCATAACAAACTGGATTTCCTCATTGAGTGGCCTGACCGATAAATAATACAATCAACCACGCCCATGTCATTCAGGAAAGCCTTTGGACTCAAAGTTGCAGTGATATTAGACTGTTTTGAAGTATTCACTGAAAGGCCTACCAACTTTATGGCAAGAGCACAAACTTGGTCAAATTAGAAGCACCACAACACAATTAAATGTCTTATTGGTATTGCTCCTCAGGGTTATGTCACCTATATTTCAAGTGCGTGGGGAGGGAGGACCAGTGACAAACAAATAACAGAGGAATGTGGCATCTTGAACAAGCTGTTACCAGGAGATATTGTACTTGCAGATGGAGGATTCACTGTTGAAGACAGTGTAGGGGTTTTCTGTGCTTCTTTAAAGATGCCTGCTTTCACAAAAGGGAAAAAGCAACAGTCTGCTTTTGAGGTTGATCAAACAAGGAAACTGGCAAGTGTTCGTATTCATGTAGAAAGAGCAATAGGTCTATTTAGGAGAAAGTACCAGATTTTGCAAAGTATAGGGCTATGCCTACTGAGCACATGGCTGTCAAATCAACTGACTCACTTGCATTGGTTGACAAAATTGCTGTAATTTGCTGTGCGCTGACCAACATTTCTGCGTCTATTGTCCCTCTGGAGTAACGTTAATGGAATCCCTTTTGGAACACATAAGTTTTGATTTTTCAGTGTACATTTCTAATGTTGTGTAACGGAACGGAATGACTTTCCCTTCTTTGCTCAAGACTAGTCTGCATGAGATAAGTCTCAAGGTCTCATGCATTCCTTCTAACCTGCTTATTTTCAGCTCAACAAAAGAATGAAGAATGAACTCTTTTCTTTTAATTAATCAAAGAACTCTATTTTAATAAAGCTAATCCATCAAAGTGTTAGTCAATAAATAAGATGTGACCGATCTGTGAAATCAAAATATTAATCACATTATTATGATCCTATAGAAATAATAAGTGCTGTGACTTTAAGGGTTCCAACAGGACTCATTTCACGTAGCGTTAAAAGACATGACACATTACTTTCACTGATCCAATCAGAATCTTACAGGTCTGACGGAGACGTGGTTCTGATGGTGTTTGGTAATTTTTCATTCGACAATAAACCATAACATCCGAAGTATAAAACTATGCCACATCAGCTCTAACGCCAGTTCAAAGCGTTCCAGAGAAAGTGACGGAGGGGCCAATCTTGATCTAAACTCTTTAACCAAAAGAACAACGACAAGCTGAAAAATGTGTCGCTATACCAACCAGCGGCAACAGTTCCCTTCAGAATAAAAGCTGAACCATCAAGACCCAGGCTCGGGTCTCACCAGACGCCAACAAGATGTCGTGGCCCGGAAGTATCTCAAGACGGGTGGTCGGCTGCCGTGGCTTCTTCTACATGCTCCGGCTCCATAAGGTCAAGCTGGACCTTTACACCTCCTGATCTAGACGGGGACTTCCGCTCAGGGTATGTAGACCGGCAAATGGCGTCGAATGTGTTTATGAATCTCCTAACCAAAGCTTAACGCGAAGACATCACCTTCAGTTCCCATCAGAACTAATCGCTTCTTCGGATTTGCGGGTTCTGATCAACATCACGTCATCCCATTCACCGTCTCATCCACTTTAGTTACACCATACATTTAGTTTTAAAGTCAGTCTAGTTTAATTTGTTAGTAACAAACTTCTTAACTTTTAAACTTGACTCTCTCTCTTCTGTCGTCTCTGAGTGAATACGAAGCTGTTATCTAATCTCTGCATTAAAAAGTTCCAATCTTCTGGTTTAATTAACCTCACAGATCCATAAGGTGGATTTCATATTTCCTATGGACACCTTATGGCTTATTAAATAACATGTAATTTAATTCATTACATATGGGTAAACATTTTCTTTTCCTCACACAAAGTCTTCATGACATTTTTCAGCCACACATGTACCCTTCATGATGTGACATGTTTTGACAGATGTTCTATTCAAGCTTGTCAGACTCCTGGGGTCATGTTCCTGCACTGCATCTCAGGTGTGGGGTAAAATAAAGAATGCTAAAGATGTAGCTGAAACATAGCAAGTTAGCAAAAGGCTTGCACCCATCACTCTGTGGGGATTTTATTAAAAACAGATTCAAACATCATTCACAATTGTTTTAAAGTCATTAAACAACCCTCTAATATTTGTTTCCGACATTTTTGAATACCGTAAATCCTCTAATATTAGCCTGTATTTAATTAATGGCCGGGTATCATATTTTGGCCGGTGTCAGAGACGGCGGAGGTGAATAATGGCCGGTTTTTTTATTGTGGCCGGGTGAAATGTGGTAACAAGCAAGTACGGGGGGCGGTTGTGTCATCCGTCTCACTTTTGATTTGCCAGTGATAGGCTGTGAGGGTAACTTTAACCGTGTGGAGACAAAGAGGAGGCGAAAATTTGATATCAAGTTCAAAGAGAACGTGCTGATTATACTGCAAAACACTGGGGAGCAGTAGCAGGGGTTGTATGAACTAGTCACTAGTCGACTTCACCGCTCTATAGTGACTTTTTATACCTGTCATCGACTAGTCGCTGTCACGTGATAATGACCGGCAAGATGCAGTCCTCGGAAAAGACAGCAGCCTGCTGTCAGCAGGTGACGAGCTCCTGTGCGTCAGGAAGCAACGCGCTGTGCCAAAGCGTCGGTACTGACACCCGACGTAAAACGAACATTTAACCAAATTGTGACGTTTACCCTCTTGAAATTTAACCTTACCCT